CTCCTCTTTAGATACTTAGGATTCGAATACGGGTCTGCCTGTGTACAAAGCTCTAGCTCTTTCTCATGTACTCAATGGATCTCTTAGGATGACTTAAGGCTATTAAAAGAACTTCTCACAAAGAGACAAATGTGGATTTTTTTTTTCCTTTCATACCTTATTATTCATTGCAAAACTTGTTTTCCAGTCTTTTTATAAACTCACTTGCAAAATGTAATTTGGAGTGATGAAAACGTTCTGGAACTAGGGAGTGGTGACGTCTCCAACTGTGAACATACTAAATGTCACTGAATTGTATACTTCAAAATGGTTACAGTGGTAGAGTTTATGTTATGTGTATTTTACTACTCTAATTTTTAATGTCCTTTGGCTCCATGACAGCTCCTTCACACTCAGCCTGTATTAAGTAGCAGAAGACCCACTCATCCAGCTGCGCAGGGCAAAGTCTCAGCGCCACCCCTGAATCTCTTTGCTTCCCTGCCCCTGCATATTAGTAAGTCATGATGCTTTACCTTCCATCAGGGTTTCTCCGTCTGGTCGCTATTGACACTTGGGGGCCTGGTAATTGTTGGGGGGGCTTCTACACATGGTTGTCAGTAGCTCACCCCAATTGTGACAACCAGAAAAGTCCCCTGCTGGGCAAAATCACCCCTGGTTGAAAACCAGGGCCTTAAATATATCCAGAATTCAATCTCTTCTCACCACCTTCACTGCCATGACCTTGGATCAAGCTATAATCATCATTCCTCGTTATTTTTACAAAAGCCTCCTAACTGGCCTCCCTGCTTCCACCATTCTTAACTGACCATCCGCAATGATTCTACTAAAATCTTATTAAAAATCAAGATCATGTCACCACGTTCTCAAAAATTCCCGGTGTCTTTCTGTCTCACCCGGAGCAAAAGTCAAATTGTAATGTCGGCCTGAGGACACACCTGATTTGGGCCCTGTTCCATCTCAGACCTGAGCTGTCACTGTCCCCCATGCTCACTCTGTCCCAGCAGGCTGGCCTCTTCTCTGGTCCCCAAACTTGTCTCACACACTCCTGCCTCAGGGCCTTGTGCCTTTGCTATTCTCTTCATCTGGAAAATTCTTTACCCTGTCTCCCCATGGCTGGCTCCCTTCTCCCTTCAGGTCTTTATTCAAACTCACCTCCTCGGTGAGGCACCCCACATTCCACCTGCTGGTGATTTTGGCCTCACATCTCTCGTTGCATATCCCTCTTCCTTTCCTTCTCTTTCCTTACAAACATTTACCACCATCTAGCTTACTGTTTATTCACCTTCTTAATCATGTTCATTACCCCAATCCTTTGTCTGTTTTATTCTCAGTTTATCTCACATGCTTGTTAAAGTGCCTGACACACAATAAGGACTTGACAGGTATTAGCGGAATGAATGAACCCCTTAGATCCAATACTGAGAAATGTTTTGAGACCACTAGTTACTTTGGCTTCAGAAACCATGCTCTGTTCATCTCTACAAAGCATGCAGACATGAATAGTTATATATTTACTTAAAGCAACAAGCAACATCACTCCTTAGCTGGTACTCTTGCTGACACAATCCTTCTTCCTTGGCATGGATGGCAGATTGCTTGACACTAAATATAGATCAGAGGATCTCATCACAATGATGACAGGCATTCAACAGCCTTGCCAGATCAATGACCCCACAGCCTACAGCTCACCAGACTTTCTCTCAGTACAGAAATCCTTAGCAACATAATGCGCCACTCATTATTCATCAATCCATTGTTTGTCCAAAGCCAGGAGTCACTTAGAAATGCCTCCAATTAGGATGAGGTTGACTAACAGCTCACCTATGGACTCAAGGGAAAACAAATACACTAACAAGAAGCTTAAGTTGTTAATACTACAAGCTAAACCCAGAGAATGGTTTCTAGGTTTCTAAAATATGCTCACCTGGGTCTCCTGGGAAAGCTGTTCAAATTTCAGAATACACTGGACCTGAGTTGTCAGATTTGATAACATACTCCAAAAATGTAACTGATGTCACCTGCAATACAGGTTCTTTTTGTTTGTTTGTTTAAATCCACATAAAATATAATAGACTCACGTATAAGCACATTAACAGATTCTAATATGTTGAAATTGCCTTTGAAGGTAATGACCCAGAATTGCTCTAATGCATATGACTCCTCAAAAGGATGTATTGTTTACCTTTAAAACAGTGTTGCATTCATGTCACACTAAAAATTGCTAAAATGCCAAGCAATAGGAGAAGAAAAGATGAAAGCCACAAGGCACTGGTTAAATAAATTATTGAATAAAAATACAACACAATACTATGTAACCATTAAAAGATGAAATTGACCCATGTGCACTAATAGGTAATGTTCATCAAGACATCATTATGTGATCAAAGCAAGCTGCAAACAAAGGCGCATAGTATGATTCTGATTGTATGAAGCAAAGTGGGTGTCCGTATGTACATACATACATGTATGAATTAGATATTTTCAGGACCATCTTCTCCACCATCCTCTACTCTGCTCCCTGCCCAGGAGGCTGGTCAGTATAGACAAATCAGTGGGGTCCCTTGCCTTGTGGCTTCTGGTTGGATTCAGCCAATGAGAGCCCTGGCAGGAGATGTGAGGGCAAGGGCTGTTCATTCCCCTGGCCGCTTTCCTACTGCTCACTGCAGGTTGGTTATATCTCTCTAAAGGTCATGACATCTGTTGGGCATCCTCTCCATAAAGTTTTCTCTCCAGATTCCAGAAACCACTTCCTTTCTTTGCTCCTGCAGATCCAGAAGTCGTAAAAATTGACACTAGCTCATGGGCACTCCACAATTCCTTGTAGCTGTTCTTAACCTCTGCTCACACTTTCCCACTTCCATAAACAGTCCTTTTATTAAACTGCTCCCAATGACTTTCTTTGCATATACTCTTTCTTTTTTGTCAGAACCTTAAATAATAATAATACTAATACTTTGTGTGTGTCTGTGTGTATCTTATGTGGTTTATATCCACACATATGCATGGAGATGTACTTACATGTGCAGAGAAAAATCTCTAAAGGATACATAAGAGATTGGAGAATGGAATATATAGTCTGGACTTTGGCTTTTCATTTTGTATCTTTTCAATTTTTTCTATTTTTAAAATATCTGGTCATATACAAGTAATAAATTTGTAATTTCGAAGCAAACCCAAATGGGAAGTATATATTTATTACCTTTTTCATGGCACCTTAAGGAGGGAAAGAAGTAATGAATACCAGGGAAAATGACCGTGATGACAGAGATGCTCATTTGGAACAATGCAATATGTCTGATGGGAAGGACTGTATCTCTGAAACTGAAGTTTGACAGTTATCAAAGAATTCATCCACTGCAGCATGGGTCTGTACCATCTTGTTCCAATGACCTGCTTTTAGAAAGGCAGACTTATTTTGAAAATTAGTTTCCAAAGAAGTCCTTTTTCTCCACACATCTCATTTGTGGTTCAGATTTGCTTTTTTCCATCTTAACTGCACTTTTTGGGCGAACTTTAGACAAGAGTGAAGTCATATAAATGTGCTCATTTAGATTTGATAAAATGTTTAGGCTTTTGTGATTAAAACAAAATAGCCCCTGGGTGCCTGGGTGGCTCAGTTGCCTAAGCGGCTGCCTTCGGCTCAGGTCATGATCCTGGAGTCCCGGGATCGAGTCCCGCATCGGGCTCCCTGCTCAGCGGGGAGTCTGCTTCTCCCTCGGACCCTCTTCCCTCTCGTGCTTTCTATCTCTCATTCTCTCTCTCTCTCAAATAAATAAATAAAATCTTTTAAAAAAAATAAAACAAAATAGCCCCTTTTGCAGAATTGCAAGATTGACTTTTAGAACTATTTCCAAAGCTTACTAAAACTACTATGAGGTAAAAAATACAAATCACGAATGTGGTGTTAGAGCCCACAATTAAATTAATTTATAAGGGCTTTAGTGCAATTAAATTTCCTCCAGACCATATCTCTAATGGTGCTGGGTTTTTTACTTAATATACTTTAAAGCATAATTTACTTTCATTTTTGCAAAGTCATTTAAATATTACAAATATCACTTTTGTACATATTTCCATGGTGACACAATACATTTGCAGTCTATTTAATTTACAACTAATGAGAATAAAATGAAAACTCTTTGAGGACCATACATCTTCTACAACATCCCATTTTCCTATTCCAAGATATTAAGTGTATAAGTTAACTGTATTTCCAAGAATGGACTCCTGAAAGAGTAATAAATATTTTAAATGATCTGATTATGAAACTTTAAGAAAATTAAAATCTAGAGCAAAGAAACACAACAGTGATACAAAGAGCCAAGATGTTTAAGGTTCATCATTTAAGATAATAAATCTTAGCCTTTAAAATTAAATTTAACAGATCTTTTCCACACTCAAATTAAGGAAAGACTTAGAGAAGAACATGAGTTATATAAAGCCTCCAAATTTCAATTCAACCTATTCATATACTTATGTACAAGGTAGCTAAAGATCTCAAAACACGTTAAGGAGACTTTATAGTCACAGTTAATGAGCAAAGCTGTTAGGACAATTTTTCATGTTCCCAAACCTAAATATGTAGGATCTATGCTAGAAAATATTCAATAATAAATAGCTAACCAGTTTGTCAGCTAAAAGAAAGAAACATACAGAATTGGTCCAAAGCATTTTTAGCTGAGGATATCAGCTAAATTCAGATGTCATTTTTGCTACAAATATGCTGCACAGTGGTGATATATTTGACAAAGGAGAAGCAGATGGAACTATGGAAATCATAACTTTAATTGACCACAACATGAAAATTCAGAAGTATAACAAGCATCACAGATAGAGGTGACAATTATGCCAAAATAAAAATTAAATGTAAGTTTTATTATAAAGAAAAAGTCTATTCTTCTTTGGATATTTCCTACTACTCCAGAAATAAGAACAAGGATGGAAAGAATATTCTTCTCATTAATGAAAACGGGACAAAGGAACAGCCAGGACATTCCTACCTGTTTTCCAGATGAATTGATTATCCTTTTTGCCTTCCAAATGAGCTGCATGGGACAGCAAGAGAGAAAGTAATAGAAATAGCTTCCTCATGCTCCTCCATAACCAGCAAGTGACAGCCAGATTACCCTCTGAAAACATTCTTCAGATTTTCAGCCTCTTGACTTGCCTATTCCTAAAAAAACAAAAACAGAAACAAAAAAAGGAAAAGAAAGAAAACCAGGTAAGTTTCCTCTGTGCAGAAATTATAAAAACTCACATTGACTGCTAGAACCTTTATCATGATACATTACAAATTTCCATTACCATACAGAGAGTACAGATACTATTAACATTTTAAGATCAAAGGTTAATTAGCCGTGCTTTCAATCCTTACCCACTGGAGATACTACCAGTCCTAAGGACTCCACAGTCCCCCAGTCAGTCTATTTTTGTTTGTAAGATCAGGGTTGGCAGATACCTGGTCTATTCCCTCCTTCCACTTAGCCAAACTCCTTGAGGAGCTCACGATTTGGGAAGAAACATGCACACACAGCAAAGTCCAAAATAGGGCAAAGAATGCTCTGCCAGTAGTATTAAGAAAGCCAAATGGAAAGACTGAGGGGGACACAATTAGATCTTCTGTGGTGAGAAGAAAAGAGAGGGAAATCTCACACAAGGTAATATCTGAGAGGAGCCTCGGGAAAACAAGGGCTTGAAGGAGCCAAGAAGGGCACTTCAGGCCACGAGAACTAGGTGCTGACATGCATTTTGTGTTTGGGGGCCTGTGAGTGGGCCCGTGACTGCTGTGAAGGATGCCAAGGGGTGGGAGGAGTGGACAGACTGGGGAGCACATTATGAAGAGCCTTGAATGCCATGTGAGTGAGCTGGGCTCCATTCTGTAAATAATAGCAATAAGAATTCTAGGAGAGCAAATAACTTTTAAATAACTGACATCAGTGCGCATCATGGATTCATGGTAGATGAGGCTAGCTAGGAAACTAGGCAAAGAGTCCAGGCAAGAACTGGTGAATGAAAGGATCTGGGGGGATTTGAAATGTGGTGCAGTGGCCAGATCCAGTTAACAACTGGTTGGGATATGAGAGAGAGAAGACAAAAAAGACAGCAAGACTCCCAACTTACATGATCGAACAGATGGAACCCCTTTACCAAAGGAAAAAAGGGGAAGAGGGGCAGGTTTGAAAAGGAAGACAGAAAGAGTTTCCTCTAGAGGATATGAAGTCTTATGTGCTACAGGATATCCAGGTAGTTTCCCAAATGATAATAAGAAAGTCTGCCCAGAGCTAAGGAGGCTGGAGAGGACATGCCAGGGTGCATGTACTGGGAAAATGGAGTAAGAGACATAGGTGGAGGGGGACGAAAGACTGAACAGTAAAAGGATATCAAGGGTAGAAGTTATCATCCCTACATATTTACCCACAAGATTGCTAAAAGCAGGGAGCAAATCTGACTGTGCACTTCCTAGTGACCAAAGAAAGAAGTAGCTACTAAAGCCCTCATATACGCAGGAGCAAATTTTATCTTCTTTGTTTCATTATTGTTTTAGGAGGAGCCACTGCCCTGCTCTCAAGGACTGATGGACTTTACCCCATGAGTCCTCATAGACACAGATGCTGTGCCAAGCAATGTGCTGAACACAGCCCTTCATCGAATCAAAGAAACAGTGGCAAGCCACAGGCAGCAGACTGGCTCTCCTGGAATACTCAGAGGGCACGATGGAAAAGTACAGATGAGTAAAACAGATTCTACAAAGGAGTCAAGCAGTGAAGTTCAAGTGCACAGCTCTCTGACAGTCAGCCTGGATCAAGGGATGAAGACAGTACTTGGATAAGCAACCAAAACCTTTCCTTCAAATTCTGTATTGCATACCAAGCCTGAGAAGCATCAAAGTGGAGTGATCCGACTGAAATAAGATTGCGCTTTCTCGCCTGACTGCCCCCAAGACTGGCTGGTGAGACTATTCCACGCAAGCTCTGCCGCATTCCTGGACAGGATTCAAAAACCTCAGGCCTAGAGAACCGAACTGGCTACATTTCTTTGTAGCAAACATCCAAGAGTATGATTTGCTACAACTGTGCTTTTGCAACATGGATACTAATTTTAGTTTATTCTAAGGATAGAACTTTTGGTAAAAATCATTTGCGTCTTAGGGTAGTTGATCCTAAGCTAGTATCATTACTATTAATAAAGTAACTGGCTAGCAGGACCGGCTCTCTGCTACGAAAACTTCTTTTATACCATGAAATCACCAGGGTATAAGAGGGGACCTTGTCCATCCCCATCAGTGACAGACATGGATCCAGCATTATCTAACAACATATTCAAATCATTAATATGTAAACTAAAGAGAAGGAGGACCGAAAGTGTATTTGCTACACTCTAAGTAGTTATAGGTGGGAAGCCAAAAAAGATTTAAAAGAATTAAGGGTTCCAGCGAGACTGCATGTGAGCTGGAATGATTAGTCAAAAATTCAAATTTAAATATCTTGCACTTTGCATCAATCTTTGGATTTTACTTTCAAAATAAAAACATCAACAACAAAACCATCACAATTAGCTGAGTAGAGGGTGCTGTGAGCCCTGATCTCCTTTTAGGCTTCCTTACCGTTCCAGAACCCTGTGCTAATTCTGCCAAGGGATCCAATGTCTTGAAGGTTCCTTTTGTGTTCACCTAAGCCAGTGGCAGATCCCCGAGCAGAGTGGCTTGAGAGTCTGCTGGATGCCTACAGTCACCATATCTTCTGGCTACCACTGACTAATAAGGATAGTGCCAGTAGAAATCTTAACAACGACAACAACAAAATCTGAAATACAGATCTTAGAGAATGAACAAAAGTATTTCAATTTAGGATGCCACAGCAATCTTACTCTTAGAAATACCTACACATTTTTAGTATCTGTATTATCAACAATTCTATACCTCACTACCTCCCTTTCCCCAGGAAGCTTAGGGACAGAGGATGGGGAACTAGATTCATGCCATGCTGCATGTGTTAGACATATAAGTAAAATGAGAATCTCTACCGAGTGCATGGACAGCACAGGATGGAACGTGAACACAGGTTTGTCTTACTCCACTAAACTGTGTTCCCTGTCTTTCCTCCAAATGCCTGAAACTTTAATCAAAGACAGTGGGAGTCATGCTTGTATCCAGCACTTGAAAAGCCACACAAGAATTCACAATAAAAAAAAAAGAAGGGAAACAAGAAACAATGAGAGATTCCACTCCTCTATTTGTAGAGCATAAATGGAAAAAAGCTGTAACTATGATAAAAAAAACAACAACAATGTATTATGCAGGAAGCATGTGCTTACCCACGATGGCATGAATAATTTACATCACGACCAGCATTTAGTTTCCAAATCAACTTATTTACTATATATCTTAGCATCCAAAATGTATTTGCAAGGTTAGCTCTAAACTGATGAATACTAAGAATAAAAAAAACACCATTTCTCCTTTTAGCCTTAGTTTTCTAATCATTCAAAGGCCATTCGAACTATGAAAAATGTGTCTTACACTTTATACACATTTCATTTCCCTTTAAGTGTATTCTTATCATTGAAGTCCTTGAATATTTAAAAGGCACAAAACGGAAAAGAAAAGAGAAGAAAAAGAAAAGAAAAAGAAAAGAAAAAAGGAAAGAAAAGGAAAGGAAAGCTGTTCCAATAGCATACCAAAGAATATACAAGCAAACTTGACCACGCATATCTCCATAGCGCCACCTCATGGCGACTTGTGGACAAGATGGCTCCATAGAGATGGCTGAGTAACAGGGCCTGGAGGGGAGGATGAGGGAGGTGGAGACCCACCCAACTGACATGCTCAGCTGACTCACCTGATGGCCACTCCAGCTAGATGCCCACTACAAGTGATTGTGAACTAAACAGTACTGGAGAAAGCACAGAAATATTTGCTTTTTCTCAGCTCTCTGCCTGATTTTTTGACTGCAATACTGTGCATTCCATTCCATCCTTCCTAATCTGTCAATATACAAAATACTGTCCTAAGTACCTAAGTTATTCTTATCTTCCCTCATTTCAGAGATGAGGGAGGTGAGGCATGGAGAGTTAAGTGACAAGCCCAAGGTCACAGAGGTGGTAAGTCGTTTGCAAGTGATCTCAATGGCCTTCCTCCGCAACAAGAGAGAAGAGCAACGTAATCCCGTATCAACACAAGCAATTTTTCATAACCCTGAAAATGGAGATTCTTTATAGCCCTATGTAGGGTCTCTCAGCAGCTTATGCAAGGCAATTTACATATCATTTCACTCCATCCTCACATAACACTATGAGCAATTATTCCTATTTTTCAGATATAAAAGAGACTGATCATTAAGGATGTTAAATGATTATTCCAAGGTTACCTCAGCCAGAAAATGTCAAAGCTGGATTACAAAATGGGCCTGACACCACAGCCCCAATCTGCTTATTGCATCACATGTGGTGACCTGGGCAGGTCACCTGGCCTCAGAGCCTCAGGGTCCTTAACTACAAAATGAGGAGGACAGTCATCTCCTAACCTTTAGGGGCAAGGATGGAATCAAGTAATGGTTGGAAAGTACTTAGATGGGGGCCAGCCAGAGAATGAGTGCTTGCTAAATGAAGGCTACCATTGCTACTACTGCCATTACTCTTTCAAAATCCAGAAAAACTCTTACTCTAGCAATATTTAAAGAACAGTTTGAATGCAATCCTGCCCTATAGCAAAGGAATGAGAGATGATTTTTTTTCAACCACCCAATCTTGTGACTTTGTGCCGTATTTCTGAAGAGGTAAAAGCACTCTGTACAAAGAGCCCCATTAAAGATTCACACTGACCCTGTGAAGGAGAAAATAGATATTATCATCTCTATTTTATGAGAAAGTAACCTCTGGCCTCATGATGACATGATGTTTAGTAACTTCCTCAAGCCTTTTAAATACCAGCCTCTTCCTCCATGCATCTCACTCTGCAGAATCCTAAATTACATCAATATAAGCATGAGGTATCTGCAAGCATACCAAAGAATACACAATCACTGGTGTTTGGTTTTCTATATTAATAATTGCAGTAGGTTTGCATCATGTAGTGAGGCCACAGAAAGTTCTGCACAAAGTCCACACAAATATTTTACATATCTCTGAACAAACTTTTGCCA